ATATCCAGTGAGTTTACCTCCCCTCTCCCTCTCTCCCCCACTCTCCTCCTCTCCCCCCTCTCCCCCTCTCCCCCCTCTCCCCTCCTCGCGACACGGTGACTTCAGTAGATGTGAGGTGTAGTGTGTGTGTGTGTGTGTGTGTGTGTGTGTGTGTGTGTGTGTGTGTGTGTGTGTGTGTGTGTGTGTGTGTGTGTGAGTCGTGTTGTGTTGTCCATGTTGTTCAGAGGCAGAGGAAGCATAACACGGAGGTTTTGAAATTCCATTGGGGCATTTATTCCACGGGGCATTTGTATTCCACGCTTGGTAAATTATAGACGGAAAGTTTGACGTTGAGTGACACCCTTTGGACAGTACACGGGGGTTAGGGTGAGTGACGGGTGGAAAATTGTGAGTTGAAAATATGTTGGCGGTGTCGTGAAAGGTACACACACACACACACACACACACACACACACACACACACACACACACACACACCACGATCACCTCGATACTTAAAGTGTGTGTGTGTGTGTGTGTGTGTGTGTGTGTGTGTGTATGTGTGTAGGTGGGGCCTGGCTAGAGAGAGAGAGAGAGGAGAGAGAGAGAGAGAGAGAGAGAGAGAGAGGACACAGGTAGACAAGTAGAAGAAAGGAGAAGAGAGAGAGAGAGAGAGAGAGAGAGAGAGAGAGAGAGAGAGAGAGAGAGTATAATCTTCCAACTTTACCATCAAGTGTTTTTCTTCTTGTTTGCTTCATTGTATAATTTTCTTGGTAATTCCAGTGTGTGTTGTGTGACTGTGTGTGTTGAGAATTATTAAGGCGGAGAATTAGTGGCACGCAGGTGAGTGTGGCTCTCACCAACCTTCCTAGACAAAGAGACAACTAAACTCTTAATATCACATCTAATTAATAATCTTTCATCTGTGTGAAACAAAACAACAAAATCGTATTCATAATCTTCACTACGAGCTTCTGAAAATGTCGTCAGGTTTATACAGTTAAAGTTCTTCTTCTTTTTTTCCCGTACGAGAATATGAGGTAATTTCTCGACCAAAATAGCAATAACGTGAGGCGGAAGGTAGAGGGGTCCAGGATCCACTGAATATAACTGAATATAAACACAAGGGTGGAGCGGTAAGGTCCCAGATACCACTGAATTTTAGGGTTGTTGTTCTCTCATAGCGGCTGAATGGAAATGAAGATGATGATGATAATGATGATGAAGATGATGATGATGATGATGATGATGATGTCCTTCCTATTTAAGTGTATCTTCATCGTCCAACGTTCATATTATCAACGCCTTGACGAGCAATCAAACGCCTGGGGTACTTTTTTGTTTCCTCCTTAGCGATATGGTGATTCGTTTTATGGAAGATGGTTTTAGTGTTGATCGTTTTCTCTCTCATCAGGTGGGCCTTAAAATTACACTGAAGAATTTACCTGAGTTAGATACGTGTTGTGTTATGAGGGTGGACTGAGCATAGGTAGCGTGAACAGGAGCATGATATAGGACTTTGATAGTGGAGCGTGATATAGGAGTGTGATACAGGAGCGTGATAGAAGAGCATGATAGAGGAGCATGATATAGGAGCATAAATAAGATTGTGATACAGGAGCGTGATATAATAGCGTGGCAGGAGCGTGATATAAGAGAATGACATAGAATTGTGATATAGGAGCATGATACAGGAGCGTAAAAGGAGCGTTAGTTAGGAGCGTGACACAGACCAACAACTTGTGACAGACTGTGACACGAAAAACCTGAGCATGAACAACTTGATGCGGTGAATGTGTCAAAGAAACTCACCTGACCCAGTTATCCTGAGGGTTAATTGTACTTGGAGACAGACAGACAGACAGACAGACAGACAGACAACCTAACCTAACCTGATCTACCTCGAACCTACACTAACTTAACCTACCCTACCCTACCCTGACCCTACCCTACCCTACCCTACCCTGACCCTACCCCACCCTACCCTGACCCTACCCTGACCCTACCACCCACCCTACCCCTACCCTACCCTACCCTACCCCTACCCTCACCCCACTCCCTACCCTACCCAACCCTACCCTACCCTGACCCTACCCTACCCTACCCTACCCTGACCCTACCCTACCCTACCCTACCCTGACCCTACCCTACCCTACCCTACCCTACCCTGACCCTACCCTGACCCTACCCCATCCTACCCTACCCTAACCTACCCTACCCTACCCTACCATAACCTAACTAACCTAACCTAACCTAACCTGGGTGTATTACTGTAGTCTCCAATACTCGAGTGTGGATCCAGGATTTAAGTGGAGGAGGTGAGGAACACTTGAGACTGACTGGCTGGAGGAGAAGTGGGAACCAGGTATTGTCAGTATAAATAAACAGTGACTTGTATTATGGAGTCTCTCTCTCTCTCTCTCTCTCTCTCTCTCTCTCTCTCTCTCTCTCTCTCTCTCTCTCTCCTCCTCTACTACTCTTTCTCTGTTACAACACACACACACACACACACACACACACACACACACACACGAAGGTGAGTGCGTGAGACTTCAGTATTCCAGGGCAGAATAAGAAGCAAACGGGGTATAAAGGTCAGGGGTGACTGTGTGTGTGTGTGTGTGTGTGTGTGTGTGTGTGTTCATGGATGTGCTTGTGTAGATATGAATGATGTGTTTGTGTAAATAATGTATAGAATGTGCTTGTATATACAATATATTGTGTGTGTGTGTGTGTGTGTGTGTGTGCCTGCGTATTGTAGTGTACAGATTATGTAAACCATTGTGTGCATGTATGTAAGTTTAATATGTTTAGTATATGTATGTATGTATGTATATATGTATGTATGTATGTATGTATGTATGTATGTATGTATGAAGTGTGCCTCTGTTTTATTTGTTTCCTCTTTGTTTTATTTGTTTATTCTCTCCTCGGATGAAAACAAAAACACAGGTTAAAAACATTAATAACTAACTCATCCCATTAGTTGCCAGTCACCTCAACTTGATATAATTTCTTATATATTTTTCTATTCACTAATTGCAATCATAATTAATACCCACTAATATCATCAGCAATAGATAAATAATTATACACATATATACAATTATCTTATTACCCCTAAATTATTGTTTTTTGTATAATTTCCAGTTTTTTATAAGAATATGAATTATATGTATCGATTATGAGTGTATTATTGACACTAAATTAATGGGGTAATGTGCTGTGGTTTTTTTTTATTTATGGTAGGTAAAGAAAAATGCGGTAACGTGTGGAAGGTTCTAGAGAGGACAGCTTTGGTCAGGTCTAAGGTAGGGAGGTCGTGTTATATCGAGGTACAGTAGTTCATTATAGAAGGGGTTGTGTTAGGAGTATTGGATTATTTTGACTACTAGGTGTACTATTTGTCAGATATGGGAGAGGTATAATGTTTTTTTTTTACGATTATGGTACCATTATTGCTACTACCACCATCATGTTTACTACCATTACTGTAATTGCTTCTACCACTATCCTACTACCAGCCACGATTACTACCATTACTACTACCATAATTGTTGCTACCACTATCCTACTACCACCACGATTACTACCATCACTACCATGATCACTACTACGACTATCCTACTACCATCACGACCACTACTACCATTACTACTACCATAATTGTTGCTACCACTATCCTACTACTACCACCACTATCACTACTCCATCGCTACCAATATTATATCTACCACCATATTTTCCAACACTTATCGCTATTACCACAATCGCTACCACTAACCCCGCTACCACCACCATAACACTGCAGCGATTTATCAAGAATATTTATTACATGTAGAAGTGGACAGGTACAAATGACTGGTAACACCACCACTACCACCACGACCACCACGCCCACTACCACCACTACCACCACGACCTTTACTACCACTACCACCACTACCACTACTACTACCACTACCACCACTACCACTACTACCACTACTACCACTTGTTTCCAATTAATTACCACTACTACCACCACGACCACTACCACCACTACCACCACGACCACTACTACCACTACCACCACGACCACGACTACCACGACCACTACCACCACGACCACCACGACCACATCACCACCACGACCACCACGACCACCACCACCACGACCACCACGACCACCAATGACTACTACGACCACCACCACCACCACCATTACTAAAATCACCACTAATGCTTTCTACCAATACTACTACAACACCTTTAACACCACTATTACCATGACCACACACACACACACACACGCACACACACACACACACACACACACACACACACACACCGGTAAGACCAGTACGCGTTGAGAGTATTTATTTAGATTACTTTCCTGGTCCAACTAATTAAACTTATTTCCATGTACTGTAATTTGTTCAGGTACAAAATATATGTAGGACTGAGGTGAGGTAGCTCTCTCTCTCTCTCTCTCTCTCTCTCTTTCTCTCTCTCTCTCTCTCTCACACACCACAAAGCAACAGACAGGTAGATCGATCCCCGGCAGGTGGGTCAGGTGAGAGGCGGCTGGGGGTACATTGTTACCTGTGGTAGCCAGTATACATACCACTACCTCAGGGTATACATAAACACCTGTGGCAGCCAGTATACATACCACTACCTCAGGGTATACATAAACACCTGTGGTAGCCAGTATACATACCACAATCCTACGGTATATATACATGTGTGTATTTCTTCGCTAGTATACACACAATACTTGTCTTGAGTATTTTGACTTGATATTTAAAAGGGGTTTGTGAGTGTGTTATTTCTACCCCCTAGTCTTATCATCCGTGTTATTTCTACCCCCCTAGTCTTATCATCCGTGTTATTTCTACCCCCTAGTCTTATCATCCGTGTTATTTCTACCCCCTAGTCTTATCATCCGTGTTATTTCTACCCCCTAGTCTTATCATCCGTGTTATTTCTACCCCCTAGTCTTATCATCCATGTTATTTCTACCTTTTCTCCCCAGTTTGTGTACCGTGGCCACCTCTTCCTGGGTTCGAATCCCCCACAGCCTGACCCACAGTGAGTGACCCATCTAGTGTCGACTGTACCGATAATTAATTAGAGTTTTAATCCATTTTAGACGCCATTTTAGTGATTGATTTTAATATTTACTATATGTTTACACTTTGAGAAGAATATTTGACGTAGGAATATTCGAGAATTAATATTGTTTTTCAGTTTAAATGAGATAGTTGTGTTCATACATACGAGGGAATTTTTTGACGTACGATCGTTTGGGAATCCGTCAATTTTTATTTATTTATTTATTTATTTATTGGGGGCAATATTTGACGAACGAATATTTAAGAATCTATCATAACATCGTCGTTTAGGTGTACCAGTTAAATTCGTTCTAATATCTGGTGACGAAAAATGTTGACTTGTGTACGAATCTTTGAGACACTTGACCTTGATCTGGGTAATTGTAGGAGGGGGGGGGGAGGGGCGAAGGGAAGTACTTATACCCAAGCATGTAATAATAATAATAATAATAATAATAATAATAATAATAATAATAATAATAATAATAATAAACGGTTTATTAATTGAGTTGCTGCCGGTGGCTGAAAATATGCAGACTTACATTTGATTTAGACTTAATGATATAATATGCGTTGAATACATTTACAGGGCTGTACAGTACATAAATCAGGAGTTGTTTATTATTTTAACAATAGATGTGGTGTGTGTATAGAGGCCACACACACACACACACACACACACACACACACACACACACACATATAATAATGCATAATGGTTGCCACTCGTGTAACAAGGATGGCCGGTCCAAGGGCCACCCAGGCGTGAATTTGTTTAAGGTGTAGAAGCTGTCACCAACACAACAACCACATCCCGAGTTAACGCGTTGCATGACCCAGTGTCAAGGAATAGTCCGAGAAGACCGGACAACTCGCCAACTGCACTGGCTAACCATTACCCCGGAATACGATCCGCAAATCGATTAACATCCAGGTCCCCAATTACTGCTGGGTAGACAGAGGCAAATGGCGTAAAGAAACTTGCCCATAGTTTCACCCTGCCCGGGGATCGAATCCGGGCCCACTCGCTTGCGAGACGAGCATGCTGACCATTACACCACAGGTCGCCACACACACACACACACACACACACACACCTCTTCTTTCTCCTCTTCTTGTCATCTCCTTCCCTCTCCCTTATCTTCCTCCTCTTCCTCCTTTTCTTGTTGTTGTTGCTTTTTTTCTTCTCTTGTTCATTTCTTACTCTCTTGCTTATTACCGTACGCCATAGTCCTCTCTCTCTCCTGTCCTCTTCGACAGGCAAACAGACAGACAAGCGGACAGGCATGCACACAGACAGACAGACAGACAGACAGACAGACAGAAAAAAAGAAAGCCATACAGACAGACAGACAGACAGGAAATACCTACATAAACAAGAGAATTATCCCGACACACTAAGGGAGCTCATACTCTCTCTGTAGGTGATCCCGTCTGCTGTCCACACCAGAACACGAGCGCTCGTTCGCCAGGGTGTAACTTACCCTCCAAAGAACGCCAGGCTATTTCTGATCGCTCGAACTGGCGTTGTCCAAGGTGTGTGTGTGTGTGTGTGTGTGTGTGTTGTGTGTGTGTGTGTGTACCTTCACTCTGCATGATAATATTTTTCATGTTTTCTCTGACGTCATCACAACACTTGGAACGATGACCCTCCAGCCTAACGCCCACACACCCCGCCACACACCCGCCACACACCCCTGCCACACCCCGCCACACCCCGACGCACTCACCACACACCCCGCCACACCCCCCACACACACCCCACACACACACCCCTGCCACACCGACGCACTCACCCACACACCCCACACACCACCACCCACACACCCCACCACACCCCGACCACTGACCACACACCACCACACCCCGTCACACCCACCCCACACTCTTAGGGACAGACAGTGTGTATGTGCACTTTGCTGCCACACCACACGCACACACACACACACACACACACACACACACACACACACACACACACACACACACACACACACACACACACACACACACACACACACACACACACACACACACACACACACACACACACGACACACACACACACACACACACACACACACACACACACACACACACACACACACACACACACACACACGCGGGGACACTACTCAGACAGATTGCACCATGGCGTCAGTGAGAGATGGAAGGGGGGGTAGGGGAGAGGGAAGAGGAGGAGAGAGGGAGATGAGAGAGTAAGAGTTAAGGAGAGAGGGAGATGAGAGGAATGAAGAGGAGGGAGAGAGTGAAGACAGGGGGGAGAAAGTGGGATGAGAGGGAGAGGGATGAGAGAGAGGGTGAGGTAGAGGAAAATTGAAATGAGAGGGATGGGAGGAAGGGATTAAGAATGGATGGATAACATGAAGAGGGGAGAAAGAGAGGGAGAAGAGGGGAGAGGGAAGAGACGAGAAGGGAAAAGAGGGAGGGGTAAAGAGGAGGAGAGAAAGGGGAGACAAAAGGGAGAAGAGAAGGAGATGAATGAGTAGGGCTGAGGATGTTGGAGGGGAAGTAGGGGAGAGAAAGAGGTGATGGAGGGGTGAAAGGAGAAGGGAAGAGAGAGGGAAGGGGAACAAAGAGGGGAAAGGGGAAGAGAGGGGATGGAGGCTAACAGGAGATAATGAAGTCTTAGGAGAGAGAGGAACTGTCAGCCGGGCCTTGTTTACTCCACAAGCGGCGGACAGTACTGTGGGAGAAGAGGAGATAGAGAAAGGGGAGAGAAAGGGGAAGAGAGAGAGAGAGAGATAGGGGGAGAGGTAGAGAGAGGATGGGGAGAGGGACATTTTTGAGGTACCGTATCAAGCCGACATTGGGCCACCCGGAATCATGATTTTTTTTTGGAGGGTCAGTTGTGAGTCGTACCAATTCCAAAGGCTCTCCCGGTAAGCTTTGGGTGAGACGGGGAGGGGAGGGAGGGGAGAGGCGGGGTGAAGGAGGGGAGAGGCGGGGTGAAGGAGAGGGCCACAGCTGAGGGTCCTATGATGCACTTTATACAAGGACCAGCACGCCCCTTCCCTAAACACACACTCACACACACACACATACACTGCTGGATACCCTACATTCTTACATCATCCTATCCTATCCTATCCTTCCTCTGTCTCACGTCTATTCATTTCTATTCCATTTTCTCCTCTTCTGTTCCTTCCTTTCTTTTGTTCTCTCTCTTCTTCATCTTTCTATTCTATTCAATCTTCTTTTCTCTTAATACCAGGTGACTAATGTGTTAATAACCTACCACTATCTACCAGACTGAAACAGTAGTTGTGGTGGTAGTTGTGGTAGATAATCCTGAGTCCCTAATTCATCTTTACCACAATTAACCACATTCAATCAGTATCTACCACTATTTTCTACAATCTACCACCACTAACTTAACCACAATTAAGTGTTATTTACTGTTACTTACCACAATCAACCACTATTTACCGACTGGCTTCCCACAATCAACCACAATCAACCACTACTTACCACAACCACTACTTACCACAACCACTACTTACCACATCCAACCATTAACCCACCACTACTCTCACTAACACCACTGTCTGCCACCACCCACTACCTGCCACTAGCTATTAAACCTCAAGGGGCAGAAATTATACTTGACCTTCCTACTTGCCGTCTGCCATTACTCTGCCACTACCCCGCAACTACCCCCCCCCCACCCCTCCTGACACTGCCTGGCACCGAGTCACGTGATTACCACCATCAAGAGGCACTACCATTTGCACCAACCACCTCTATAATTATGTATAATGGCTCCATTTTTGATAAAGAGTAAAGCAAGGAGAGAGAGAGAGAGAGAGAGAGAGAGAGAGAGAGAGAGAGAGTCACCAAAGCTGGTACAGTGTTTCCAGAAGAGTGACAGTCATCGTATACATCAGCCAATGACAGACACAGGTGAGCTGGGGTCAGGTGCCTCTCTCTCTCTCTCTCATATAACTTACAGTATACCCAGAGGAATCACCTCCCCTGACACCTCCCTCATTCCCATACCTCACCTCCCCACTCCCACACCCCCCACCCCACACCCCTGTCTCCCCACACCCACACACCCAAACACACGTACAGAGTTTAAAAGTGGAGGAGATACAGTGACTCTGCTCCTGCCCAATAAGACTCGGGTCACCTGATCACCTCCCTGGTGTGGCGGGGTGAGGCAGGCGTCTAGTGTGACATACAGATACACAAATGAGGTTCAGGCGGTGGGAATTGTCTGTTAGAGAGGATGAGGGAGGTGAGGGTGAGGGATGGTGTGGATGAGTAGGGGGAGGATGAGGAGGGTGGATGAGGGAGGAGGGGGTGGATGAGGGGTGGAGGATGGAGGGATGTAGAGGATGAGGGATGGTGGAGGATGAGGGAGGTGAGGGGGTGTGGGTGTGAGGGGGTGAGGATGAGGGATGGTGAGGATGAGGGATGGTGAGGATGAAGGATGGTGAGGGGGTAAGGATGAGGGGGTGAGGATGAGGGGGGTGTGGATGAGAGTGGTGAGGATGAGGGAGGGTGTGGATAAGTGGGTGAGGATGAGGGAGTGATAATTTCTGGCCAAATACCTCGTTTCTCTATGGGTATCCTAGCCCAACGTCAGAGTACCTAACCTAACCTAACCAAAAACAAGTTTCCTTCACATAAAAACAAATAATAATAATAATTGTTTTCTTTTCGTCGGCTGGGAGCTTCGTCTTACCAACCCGAGTTTAAAAATAATTGAGTCGTGAAGGACACCGCACTACAGCGCTCTTACTGGAAGGTGTGGCTGGAAAACGAACTTATATTATTGGAATTAGTTCGTTTTACCGCCACACCTTCCAGTAAGAGCGCTGTAGTGCTGTTGGCAACGGATCTGTAGATAGAGTTCGGTCAACTCGGTGACATGCGTGCGCCATGTTGTGACTAAGCTGTGGAACAAATAGTTTGCGCTCGTACTGGAGAGAATAATGATGATGATGATGA